TGAGTATAGCAGAGGCCATGACAAACGTATCCGAAATTCCAGCCATACAAATGAATCCCAAATCGAATCAAATCAATTCGAATCGAAAATCAAAGTGTTAGCGAGCTTTTTAAAGCATAAATATATGCAAGTCGCGTAAGGCAATGGCAAATTAACGAATTTGCATAATTATGCATCATTTTTTTGGCTTGTTTGATTGCTGCTTTTATGCTTTGTTTACTAATTAATTGGCTCGAACTTCGGCACAGTTTGGCAGCCACTGGGGACCGATTCGAAATTGATTGTTGAATTTATTTAGCCATTTAGGATTGAGCAGCAATTAATACAAATTGAAACGATGTGGATTTCCATTGAAATGGGTGCCTCCTTTTAATTTATCTTAATTTTTCCCCGACTTCGTCATGCTCCGAATAATGACGATGATGATGCAACTCCATTGGCATCGAAATTGGGGAGACGCCACATGGATACACATATATATATATATATATATTTATATATCTCGATCGCAATCTGCGGCGATGCTGTGCAGGCATTTTTTAATTTCCCCCGAAATAAAAAACCGTTTAAGATTAATGGACACGATTGCTGAACAGAAGCTGATGTCACCCGCATTGTCGCTATTTATTTATTTTTTTTTTTATTATTTATCAGTGCCAGTGCCAATTTCCGTTACTCGGATTATGATTATGATTAACGATAAGCAAAGAAGTTGCTCTGTCGATCGATCTGTAATTGGCAATGAAATCGCCTCAACAACTACCGCCAATTAAGCCCAATTAAACCCGTTCGTCGTGAGACTCAAAATTTAAATAATTTTTATGAAATTTGAGGCAAAGCTAAACCTTTTAGGAAATATTATTTGTGAGCTTTGATTGGCAAGGATAAATTGATGGTGGGTTTTAATAATATAGAAGTACTTAATTAGTTTTAGAAACTCAATAAACCGCGAATCCAAAATAAATACAGTGTGCGGATTTTATATTATCATGGAAATAGCTTGCATCTGCTGCCTTTAAATGACTTTTAATTTGATAGGAAACTAAATGTCGAGCGATCTTAGAACATCTATAGCTTAAATCACCTTTATCGATGGGCCCTGCGTTGCCTTGAATTCGAAATGAGACCTACCCAAAAAGCCAGATCGCCTTGCATACCAAGTTCTGCGATGGGATCATCATCCCCGATTCTTGGCAGACAATTTTCTTGCCTTTATGATCGCTTTTTCGCATAAATAGAAAATTTAAATGCAGTTTTCAAACACATTTTATGGCGTCATTTGCGTGTCAAATGTTTTTTACTTTTTCTCTGTCTTTTGTTGGATGAGTTTTGGGATGATGACACAATAGATATATCTATTAACATATATATGTATAAATCCACCCACACTGCCTACTGCATTTTGCAATAATTCAGAAGGCAAATTGCGACAGTTTGGGAATTTCCCCCCAACCCAAAAATGCTGTTAATGGGTGTTGGGATGATTTTTTTCCTTGTAGCATTTTCTATTTTCAAAATTTACGCAATGCAATAGTCAAACAATAATTGCTCGTATGCCGGGCGACTCACTCTATATATACATATAGTATTATATATACATATGTGCCCCCACAGACGCGCCATGCAAATATTAAATTACAAAAGTTGGTCGGGGGCTACAAAGTGAGAAACGGAAAAGTCAGGCTGAGAAATTGGTTTACCCTACACTTCGGAATTGTTTTTCAATGTTTAGTCTATGGAGGCGGCGAATAGGGGATAGGATCTCTCTCTCTGTACACCTGAATTTTAATCGGCGATTATTAACCGCAAATCAGTTGGGGTGGATGAACCCCAACGAACCCGAGTCTCAGGTGTAAGAAGCTACGGAGACAGATAGACACTCATTTTCAATTACTAATCAGCAATATTGCTTTTTTTTGCGGTTTATTGAACTGCAAATGTGTAATTAAATAATAGGGGGCGTATCTATCATATAATGTTATAACATTTTCATTTATTATTTTTTAAGAACCAACTAGTTAAGTTCAATTAAAGTGTATTACCAGTTTCCATCTCCCAACTTCCCTGCACCGCCTTGAATGGGAAACTTTCGTCTCTGGTATCTCCTCGCCATCTATTTATAAGCACTTGCCTCATAGCCAGCATATTCCCATTGACTCCCCGATTCCCCCAGTTGTTCCCTACTAAAAAAAAAGCATACGTCAGCCAGGGAAAATAGATTCCGGATCCGCAGAACCGCCAAGTCTGAGAATCTGAGCATCCCGACCAGGTCAGATGCGGATGCCCTAGTGACTAATGGTCGTGGAAGCCTTCTAGCATCTAGCATGCCAATTTGACAAAGTTAACACTCCGAGGAGATATCGCCAATCAGCGTAATAGATACACAGCAATGGAAATAGGAAGGGAAACGCAACCGAGACACTTCATCTACTCACACCTCGCAGCACAAACAGTTTTAAGTGTGCCAGTTGTCCCCCCGGTCGGCCCCGCCTCCTTTTCGAGTCCCCGCCCCTTGGACAATGCCTGAACTTGAGCTGAAGTGGGTGGAAAAGGGGGAGTTTGCGTTAGGCAGCCCCAATGTAATATTTAAACAAATGCTCGCATGACTTTTCCACTGAAAATTGCATGTGATCGCTAGCGAATGTACAGGTACACAGGAAGAAAAGTTACAAAGAAAACTATAATATGAATTCCTACATTCCAATATAATTTTGAGGGGGAAAATTTACACATTTAATTGTTTTGTGGGTATCAAGATTATGTTTTGACTTCTGAAAAAGAATTGCAATTTAAAATAAATTGAAGAAACGCTCATATCTTTAAAGGTCATTTTTCAGTGATCCCATACAGGCAGAGTGGCAGATACATGGACGACCGATCACATGTGTGATTGAGGGTCCAACATCTTGTGTCCATATGTTGCACAAACAAACAATCGAAACAGAAACCGTGAAGCCACGAAAACAAAAAGCCAGAAAACACAGAAACAAGGAGAACGAACCGAAGGGAATGTGCCAACGAACGCATCTTTACACAGAAACCCAAAGAAAAACAAAGAAAACATAATCCCAAAAGCTGAAAAAGAAACCAAAACGATACACGGCCGTGTCAAAAAAGCTGCGAAATGAATATTTTTCTCATCTGCTGGCTGGCTGACTGCCGTTTGTCTTTTGGTCTTGGGTGCTTTAATTTTCCTTCTTGTTTGGTTTGCAGTTGCTGTGTTGATGATGCAAATATTTTGACAGTTTGTTTGACAGATATCGGGGGATATACTCGTACTTGGGGCAACGATGAGCGATACAAGCCACGCGATCGAAGCGAATGCAAAGGCCGCTGTAAAACCGGAAAAGGGCCATCCAATGGGGGGGCGACCCATCTGCCGATGTAAACAACTCAATACAGTTGAGTTGCCAGGCAAAGATCAGATCAAACAAAAGATGTAGCATCTGGAAAATATTTCTCATTTGGGTTTCTTATGTGGATGGATGGTCTGATACTAAATGCATACTTGCAATTAATTTATTCCCATGCTTACTTATCTATTTTTGGTTTACTCATTATTATTTGACTCTATTTTCACATTTTGAGGAAGTACTCGTATCGCACTCAAGTTCAGCTATCAATCTTGAACGGATAAAACCCAAGATAAGTGGTATCTGGCTCGCTCTAAAGTGAGCGGTGTTATCGGTTAAAAGTTAGCGGCCGGCCACCTGATCGTATACGCAATGTCCGATTGCCGGCAATACGCATACGCCGGATGGGCCAACGGAGGATGGAGCTATCGAGAGCTGCAGCAGTGACCTCGTTTAACTGCCCGATTTGCAGTGGTTCCTCCTTCTTGGAAGTGTTGTTGGTCCCCCCACCGATAAGCTCTTCCCAGGCGACATACATCTGAACATATGTACGTTCGAATTTGACCTCATTTACGCAACTTCCGATGTGATAAAAATTGTGACCGCTGCAGCAAAACAAATTGAATCAAAACAGCAGTCGAGTCGACGAAATGAAATAGTTCAGCAGGTGCTGGGTGTTCACAAACCTTCTTATACATATGTATACATGAGGGGATTCGATTTGAAATGTTAATTTAAGAAATTATTTCATTGCAAGACATCGTCTGTGGACAACATGTCATTAACACGCGCTGATAACGCGCTATCATCGCCGCTCATTATGGTTGAAAAAATATACACAGACCCATCCATATAAATAGAACTTAGAACTGGAACAATCAACTTCTCCTCATGGTAATTGGCAAAAAAAAAAAAAAAAAGAACCTCCAAACACAATCGAATCATTCAAACAGCTAGGGTCGTTCGGATTTTGGAAAAAAATAAAATTAATTCAGCGTCTGTTTCGAGACAGTGATAACCCCGGATGGTGACCTGAGGCTCAATGGTCTCGATGATTTTATTTTGCTGGCCTTTGGTCAACTTGAAATCCGGTCCTTAACATTGCTTCAACAGAGCGTTCAATTTTTCAAACTCAAATCACTGCCCAATTTTATGGGGAGTCGCGGAGGGAAACTGTTTTCAAATCCACTTAAAATCCCCTTATGGCATTTAGTATAATTTTTTATGCTAATCACTGAGTTCGTTTTGTTTTTGTTTGTCCATTTTTCCCTATGGAAATGTGTCATGTAAAATAGTTCAAGTTCGTCGGGGGGGCCATTTGTGTCAACATAACATAACATAACATAAGCTTTTTGGAGTTTCTAAGCTGGGAGTGGATGTTTGATTGTGAGCAAAACCGTCTTGGGAAAGATAAATTAAATACTACACACAGTTTTATATAAAATTCATAAGGAAACGGACTGAATTTTATTGAAGCTGTTCATAGGTTTACATCTAGGGTTATTAAGTTATTGATTCCCTTTTTTATGTTGCAAATATCTTTGATAGTTTAAATATCCATTTTATTGCACCGATCAAAGCGATAGCCAACCCGGCGCTGCGAGTCTTCAAATTTCTCAAAGTTCGACTCATCGCCAATGAACTCACCTTTGCATTTGTCAGCGGTACGTGGCAGGCGTTAAGGACGAACATCACGGCCAGGAGGCGCAGGAGCAGCGACCCCGTGTGACCGCTTCGCCCACTTCCGATTCCGACCGAGGTCGCGATCGCGGGCGCTTTGGTTCCCGGCGATCCCATCATCTCTTCTCCGGGGAACGGGGGTTACGGACTATCTGGGATTTTTGGTTTTTGGCAGCTACTTAGGTGTGGTTTAGGTACTTATGTGAAGGCAGTTTCGGTTCGTATTTGAGTATGGTATTAAACGGCTGGCAGGATGTGGTTACGGTTATGGCACTGCACAGAGAAAAAATAGCACCCGAGATAGATTGAAAACTTATTACTTAAAACAAAAAGATCGTTGATTACGAAAAGATGTTTCACTTAGTAATTGTGAATATTCTTTTTTTTTTTTTTTGTTCTAAAAAGGATTTATTATTAGTTTTTGATGCATTTTTTCTCTGTGCACTATAAAAGAAAGGGGGAAGCAAATCGGAGAACACAGAAACGGGACGCGTTTCCCGACATCAGCAAAAAGTGTCGACTTTGGTGGAACGAAGAGCCCCGAAAAAAAACCTGAGACCCCCGAAACCAAGCCATTGAGTTTCAGAAGTTCCCCGAAAAGGCTTGATGATCCCGGATTGCTACAGATCCCATTCAGATCTTGTTTTCACTCCTAGCTGATATTTGTTTTCCCCCAAATTTTGGGGTGCCACTCAGGTGGTTTTAGTTTTGTTTCACACACGCGAACACTTTGGCTTAGATCACAGCGGCAAATAAAAAAACATTAATGAGCTAAGGTTAATTTTTTTTTTTTTATCCTTGAATCGTTTTCACCAGGATATTTTTAAGGATTATTATTATGTCTCGGCACTGCGTCAGTTGTAAGGCACTAAAAAAAAATATCGCTCCACCAAAAGAGTCAGAGTCACTTCAAAAACAAAATAAACAAGACTATGAAGAGATGGAGCACCGTGGAATGTGCGACCGCCTGGAACGATGGCGCGCAACCTAATGTCTAAGAACCGTTGCCGCGATTCCCATCGCCGCCTCTGCCGCTGCCTCTGCCCGCGTCGACGTCGCCCCGAAGACGAACGAGGGCCAAAACGAAACGCAGCCGAAGCGTTTTGCGTGCTCTTGTTATTGTTATAACGGCGCTTAAGTGGCAACAGCAAGCCTGTTGCGTCGATGCACTGCATTTCTCTCTCTGCTTTCTACCTTTCTCCCCGTCTTGCCGGCTCTTGCTCTCTCCTCCCACCTCACGTGCGTGGGTGGCCGCGTACGCAGCGTTGGATCTCGCCTCTTTCTCTTTCCCGCATTCTTATCCTTTATCGTCCTCTCCTCCGACATTCCTCCATCTCCCCGCCAAGGGCGTAGACTGGATTTTATCAAAGGGAGCTGGGCTCCATACATCAACTCAGTGCGTTAGTTAATCTGAAAAAGGCAATTCCGAGTCCGCCACTGTCTTTTTGGCTCTCTGGGCCAACTGATAAGCAAGTGAAAACCGCTGCTCCTTGTTTTCTCTCCCCTTTTGTTGTGTTTGGGGCAGCCGGTTTGCAAATTGTCCCTCTCCCTCCCACGCAAATAAGTACCGCTTTATTCGCACTTTTCCCGTACGATTTTTGCATACGACACTTGAAAAAAAAATATTTTTTTGCTCTTTTTTCTAAGCTCCAAATGCTGTCAGAAGCTCAAATGATTGAAAGTTGTATGTTCACCACTTCTACGAAGTCCTCCAAATTTGGTTTATTTTCATCTTATAAACCAGAATAACCAATTTCTAATTTTTTGAGTACATCACAGATGCACTGCACATTTAAAATCCTGACTAACCCATTCCCGAATTGCATTATGACAAATCTCTGAAAGGCTGAAAAAGACTATGTAAATGCGTGAGAGAAACACAAATTTACCAAAGAAGATTGAGATTGAGGGATGTGCAGCTGTTGTTGCATTTCACATTCTGGGCCCCAAAATATTTGTGGTTCATGCTCATTTCTCGGTATGCAGGAACTGCATGCTCCAACAATAGGTTTAGAAAAAGAAATCAGTGGCGAGTAGCAAAAATCCAGGGGCAACCAGATATTTTTTATCATCTTAAAAGTGCGAATAACGGACTAACATAATCCCAGTTTACCATTATCAAGTTTACCCTCTTCAGAAAAGTGTAGTTTTAAGGTAATTTTATACATTTTGTATTGATTAACAGTATGTACTTACAACATTGTTAAAATATTATAAACACTACTGTTAAGCCATCGGTCAGAGGCCACGGGATACACCTGCCACAATCAGTGACCTTCAGCCCACTCCTCCCGCCACCGCCACCCCAAAAAAGGTGTCTTCCCATTGGCGCCTGACCCAAATGACATCCCACATGACGCATGCGTGAGGATGAATAAACGGACTTGGATGCCGACGCCCCATGCGGTGAGCCAATGGACACGTTGCGAATTTTCATAGCCCCCTTCCGGAATTTGTGAGCTATTTTTAAGAGGGCTACACCCCCTTGTCCTATTCCTTCGCCTTCCATGTAAAATAATTAAGTAGCAAAATAGCCACAGCTTCCGTTCACTGATAAGGAAAAATATGTTAATAAGGTTTAACAAAATTATGACAATGAACTTTTTCACTGAGAACAACAATACCAAAGAACTTTCCTTTTACAAAAAAATTCTTTAATAAATTTTTGGTATATTGTCTGTCCAATTTGTCAAATTTTTTATGGGTTGCTGAAATGCCAAATTAATACAAATTTCACTGTGTTTTTTATTCTATAAATGATAGCATTAATAAATACAAAATAGCACCACCTTTTTAAACAATAGACCAATTTAAATTTTCATACAACTTCTTTTCTTTTGATTTTCTTTCGTATGTCACACTTTCGATTTCATTTTTCTGAGTATTTTATTTAATTATTATGTGAAACATGTGTGTATTTTTCGAAAGTCAAAGGTGGAACACATTATCGCGCTTGAAATTAGAGCAAGAGCTGAAACAATTATAATTATCATTCCAGAGGGCTTTAAAAAGGTTACAAAGATTATCGTTTATTAAAGGTTAGGAGTAAAAAAAAAAACCCAACAACATATTTTTTAAAATAGCCAAAAACACCACAAAAGAGTGGTGAGTATTCACTCTGTTAGCCACATCCGAATTCAAAAGCTGAAGACAGTTTGAGAGCAATTTCAAAAAAGCTTTTAGCCAAGTCAGCAAATTCTGTTTGTAAAAGCTTTTCTTCATGATGTTTCAAGCAAGGAAATCACATATATAACCAGATAGTCATACAAGGACATTTTCAACCAAAACAAAATGCAAAAAGCTAATTGGGAATTTTGTTTTAATTATATTAATTAATTTCCGGTTTTTTTCGAAGAAGGAACACCTTGAATTCCATAACTTTAATAATGGTATGCGTGTATGTAGTTTAAAAATATATCCTTTCCAGGTCTTCTACAGACATTTAAAAAATATTTCATAATACAACTAAATTTTTTAATTCCTTGATTGGCACCCACTATAACATTTTCCATGCACCTTTTGGTTTCTGTACCTGAGTTAAGTTGCACACAATCAAGTTGCCTTTCCTTTGGCAAGTCACGTGTATTGAAAGGGCAACTTGTTTGATTTTGCAAGGAAAATAGTGGCAAACTGTGAGCAGGCAGTTTTATAACTGAAAAAACATATTTAGTAGATAAATTAAGACCAAACCAGCATGTTTTATTGCAGATTATATAGGATATGAACATAAATATGTAATAGGAAAACCAGAGAGCTTATTAAAAAACCTAACATTTTTTACCTGCGTTAATGAAATTGCCTGAACAAAAAGTAATACGCCAGTTAAATATAAAATGTAATTCTAACTTTAGTTATACAACCTAATTGTGTAAACACATAAGCCATAAGTCAGCCAGGTAAAAACAAATGATGTTCAAGGACCTGCAAACAGCTGATAAATAAAATGTAAGTTGCATTTTACTTGCATCTATCATTGCACCTGCAACTGACAACAGCTCAATACTATTTTTTCAATCAACAAGGCTTCTGTTAAAAAAAATAATACAAAAAAAAAAATGAAAGACGAAAATGTACTTTTACCAATTTCAAGGAATCTTGGTAACTTGGAAGCCCCAGGAACAGTTTTTCCCCCTGAAAACCCAACAAGTGGCGGGTAACAAGTTGAAAACTGCAGTTTGCATAAGAAGAAGCTGCAACCTTCGGTGTAAAAATGGGGTAAAAGCAGTTGACATTTTCCCCCCATCAGTTTTGCATCCCCGATTGTTGTGCAATTGTTGGTAGAACTGAGTGTGTTAGGGTGTGCCGTTAGGGTGTTGTGTTGCTTAAGCGTTTGCTAATTGTTCATTTGGCTTCTGAGTTCTTGAGTTATTTTTTTTCTTATTTTGGCAAGACCTTTGGCCAGGGCTTTTAGCTTAATTAAAGCCAGCCAGAGCGGCGCCTTTTGTGAGTCCTCCGCCCGCTCATCAATAAGCATCTGAAGGTATTTTGTGGCATTGAAATTTAATTTCGTTTCATTTCGCATTAATTAAATTGACCTCCTTCTGTGCGAATTTGGGGGGCGAGAAAATAAGGACTGGCAAAAGGACAGCGGCCAAAGTTAAAAGCCAACCGGGATCTTACAGATAATACAAAATCTTAAACTCTGGCCGAGGGGGCACGAAGGTCCATTCAGCTTTCAAGCATTGTTCGGAGGAGGGATTCTACGTTTAGATTAAAGTTTTCAAAAAAAAAATAATAATACGTAATAAAAATAATAATACGTAATAAAAATAATAATATTAATAATAATAACAGGTTCCTAGTAATTTCTTAGCAAATGTAATGTATTTCAAAACAATTGTTTTGTAGTTTCTTTATTTTTTTTACCTAATATTTTCTAATTTCATTTATTTTTTGTTATTGATTTTTTTTTTATTTTTTACGAAATAACTGCTTAAGTTTCTGACAGAGATCTACAAATTTTAGACGATTCGAGCCGCCCTGGTACTATTATCGACCCCAGAGCCCTGGTGCACTTAGTCCAAGCTTAGCCCATCAAAGGAATGATTTCGGCTTGTGTTCCGTGTTTTGCAATTTATCATGCTTTAATCCACAAACTAATAATATACAGTGAGAGGTGTTGGATTAATCAACAAGGGCTTAACATGTCAGGTGTACCCCTATGTTTAAAATAGACAGCAATATTAAATGAATTACATTCCTCAGATTTCCTGTTTTTACCAAAATAAATTTATATACTTCACTCCTTTTTTTTTTAATTAAAAAATAATTGCAATCGTATATACTTAAAATGTAACGAAGAAAGCCGAACAATTGTGTTTGAGAAACTGATTTGATACATTTTAATAGACTAAAAGAACTTCAAAGCTATTGTCAAACGGCCTACGACTCCGACTGGGGAAAAAAAAAAATCAAGGCGAAGACTAACAAAACAAGAAGATAAAATCCGGGAAAAAGACAAAGAAGACCTTGCGCTTTTTTTCCGATAACTGGCTGGGCTTAATCATTAATATTTTTAGGTTCCGTCTTCTTTTCGTTTTATTTGCATATGCCTTTCGCTTTTTCGCCGGCTATACTTGTACAGAACTTCTATTTTTCGCTAAACGCCATTGTTTATGTTTACTTGCTGCTCAGTAATTAAAAGGCAATCAAAAGGCAAATAGATTCTTGCAATAGGCACCTGAGCCACGCCCCCATTCACTACTTTTTTGGATCGCCTATTGCACTGCAAAAATCAAACTAAACATAAAATTAAGGTTTGGTTAATAAATTACAAAAAAAAAAAAAACATACAATTACGCAATGTTTTGTCAGATCTAATCAAAGTGAACAGATCAAAACTAATTTTGTCGACGATGATCAATTAGTAAATAAATTCCAAGTGTAATTTTCGGGTCTTGTCAACTGCTTTTGCAGAAAGTGTTTCTTTTTTTTTTTTTGCTGCCTGCTCATAAATGCCCGACTTAAATCTAAACAAAGCCAAATCATCAGCCAACTGAAGCAACAGGGTAATAAAAAATTGAATTTTCTCCCTGCCTGCTTTTCGTTTAAACAAATTTTGTTGCCAAACGCGGCACAACTGACAGTAATAAAAAATATATATGGGCTGCATGTCTGAAAGGCGAACAAAAAATAATATGAAATACTCTTTAAAAATCGGTAGTAAAACGTAAGCCAATGTGGTATGCATAAAAAATATATAAGTTAAAAAACATTTTTGTTTTAACGGTTTTATAGAAATAGTATTTCCTTTTATAAAATTTGATACGCCAAGAAACACTCATAAATATCCTAAATAAAGGGTACCTTAAACAATATGTATATACTCGTGAATCATAAAAATAGAACAAATTGGCTCGGCTAAAAAATGAAATGATTGCCATAAATATGATCGAGTTTTTGGAACGACCAGATGGCCCGGCAGATGTAAAAATTATGTAAATATACAAAAGCACTTTTCTCCAAAACTTAACTTTAATAACAAATTAAAAAAAGAAAAGGAAAGAAGTAGATAAAACAATTGAATTTGCCATTTAAAATTGCATACCCAACAAAGCAGTCCATTTGTTCCGATCAATTAAGGCCATCGAAAGCAACTTGAACAGTAAGTTTCCGTTTGCCAATCTAGTTGCAGGACGAATTCTACCTCCTTTTTCCTTTAGCATTCAGTCAATTTAACGCTTCATTTGCACAAGTTTTTCTTCTTATTTTCGTTATTTCTTCCTTATATTTTCCTTTACAAATGGACAAAAGAGAGAAGCATTCAGGGCAAACAAAGTGGGGAGCAAGCGGGCAGGGAAATGGGGCATCTTACCACCTGCAGCAGCCGTCTTCTGCCTGAAAAATCCACTCAAAACAGGTGACGACAAGTGCCACTTAAAAATTAAAATCTGCATAAAGCCCTGCGGAAAGGAGTCGAAATAAAGCGTATCCGCTTAGCAATAAAAGGATACAAGAATAAATTGTGCATTTAGTTGATCTTGCTGATACTAAAGTATAAAATAAATTAAGATCAGATTTTGACTACTAACATAAAGCTAATTCCCAACCAATAAATGTTGAATTATAATCAAAAAAATATGTAATTTAAGTAATATTTTTAGTACTGCAGCCAAGGCAATAATTCGCAGTGTGCCACGAAGATAATACTGCGTTGACGGGCCAGAGAAAGACAAGAGATTCTGATTATTATAATGCACGCAAGCGTTTTGCTCCATTCAAAATAACAACAAAAAGTTACTTTAGTTTTCCAGTCGAATGGTGTGGGGGGATTTGAAGTGGGCGGATGTCATCAGCTGCGCTTTTGCCTTTTGTTTTTATGCACCTCGACTTTCCCGCTGCACCACCCTACTACACTGTGCGACAAAATTTAACAAAATGTTTGTTTGAGTTACTTTTTTGATTGTTTTCGGTTAAGGGGCATAAGTTATGCACAAAAATATTTATGCCACCTTCTAAGTGATAGGATTTCTTTTTTTATGATAAATTTTATGAAATTATTATTATGAAAATATTTAACACAAAATATTATTTTTTTTTTTACTTCCAATAAACTATTATTTTTTTTGAAAGTGAAATTTTTTTCTGATTTTTTTTGCTTTTTCAGAGGTATCCTCGCGTAACAAGTTCCATACGTAGTCGCCCAGAGTATAGAGCTGGGAGAAAAAAATTTTAAAGCATTGTTATAAAATCCTAACGGTATATTTGCTTAATATATTTTAATTAATAGATATTGAACTTGCATAAAACGCTTATAACGGTGAAAAAATATTTTCCCAATATGGTATTATAAGGCTGTAAAATATGCAAAAACACGCGTTTTTGGGACCTTTAAGTGTGCGTAGAAGCTGATTGGCTATTGATATTAACAAATCCAAAAACTTGTATTCTTATTTTGACTAGTAGAAGTGAAAAATAAGAAAAAATCAACTCAAACATTTTTTTGTCGCACAGTGCTATATACTCCCCATTATCTGCGACTTTAGCACTCCTCCATAGGGCCCACTTCATCCGAGAAAGAAATCCATCAGCGAGATTGTGACAATTATGCGACTCTGCTCTAAATCTCAAATTAAGTCATCTCATTCCGCGTTGCAATTTGCAACGTATTAGAAGCTCTTAAGATCTTAGGTTATTTTCGGATTTAAAAAAAATATTTTGAAATTAATTTGAAAAAGCCTAGGGTATTTACAAGTTGAGGTACGAAGTCACCCTGATTGCGGCAATTTTCCTTTGACATTTTCACATTTTTCCTGATGTTTTCTTAATTTTTACTTATTCGCTTTTCTCATTTGCTGTAATTTATGCCTGTGCATTCAGCGGAATTCTCGAAAGATAACACGGAATCGGATGCTGTTGCAGTTGGATTATATAGTGGCGATGTTGCTTAGTTTTCCCTTACATACATATACATTATATACATTTTTACTTTGAGTTCCGTTCGGTTTTATTTACGATGTTTATGTTTCGCTCATAAAGCCAATTGCTGGCATCTTTCCTTTCAGGTTTTCAAGTTGTTTACCTCTTTTGCCGAAATGAAATGTTGATTTAATTTTAATTTAATTCTACTGTTTAGTATTTAAATATTTTAATTGCTGAACACGTTTATTTATTTGTGCAAAGTTGTCGCCATCCATGTTGCTATCACACATTTGCATTGTCCTTTCACAATTGCTGCCGAATTTGCGGCGATGTCCTTGCTGAATTCTTTGAGTGTCGATGTAGCCCAGCGTTGCATATTTTAATCACCAGTGTTGCTCATGCGGTTTTATATTCTGCATGTGCTGCCGGTGTACCCCCGTTGCATTTTGCATTTTTTCTCCAGGTGTCGCAGTGCCACATTTAAATTTATATTGCACTTACAGGTGTTGTCGTAGTTGTTTTAAATTCTGTCTTTGTTGCATCTTTTGTTCTTATTAGCATTGTTTCGCTGCGCCCCATACTTGTTGCTCTTTTATTGCTCTGCTCCTCTCATTTTTGAATTTCTTTACATTGTGTTCCCGCCTTTCACGATATCTTGCTTTTGCAGCTCATTATGGCTGCATATATTGCATATAGAACACAGCATATAGCTGATACTTGAGCTAAGTTGCAGTTTCGATTTCGCCCCCAGTCGCCGGTCGCCTGTCATCGCCGCTTGATCGTCGGACGTGCTAAGCCCGATTTCGTATTAAATCGCCGGAGAAAGATTATAGTTTGGAAGCAACAACAAACAACAAAGATTAGCCTAACCTAATCGGAACTGTAGGTGTCGAAGTTCAGGGACGTCTGCCAAACGCATAGTATTCACTGATCTAGCTTTGCTCCGAGAACCTATTATAAAATTTCCTTGCTATTAAAATACATATATTAATGAGGCCTGAACTTATAATCAAATTGTATAGTTTAAAAATTGTTTGTCGGACCCTTTATACACTTTCTTTAAAAAGTCGAAAGCCACTTCCGAAATTTCCTCTGCCTTTTTCTCATTTTCGGAATCGGCAAACATCTAAGAACTCTTCGAGTGCTTTTGCCTGATTTATGAGTTTTGCTGATTTTTTGTTTGGCCGAAATCAACACCAATGTCCATGTGCGAGTATCTGTGTAAGAAGGCATTGCATTTATGAACGTGAGGAGCACAAGCGGTGCATTTGACCGCATTACATGCAAAATGGGTCACTCAGTCAGTCAGTCAGTCAGTCAGTCAGTCAGTCAGCCAGTCAGTCATTCATCCCACTAGTCAGTGACTATAATTAAACACTGCAGGCCGATGTTGGCACAGTTTTCCTACAGTTTTTCCTCCAACCTTTTATGTTCGTCTTCGTTTGTCCAGTTGAAACAGAAAAGCAAGTATTAGGGCTCCAACTGCAGGATTCGCATCATTTGATACCCTGTTAAAGGTCATTCAACTGGTTAATAAGTTTGTTAGTTTCAATAATTTCTTTAAACAGCATTTCAGTTGTCACACTGTTTTTTCAATGCAGAATCTCCTTTAGCTGATTTAAATGTTTGTAAAAAATAATTTTTTAAAAATATGGGCATTTCAAGGGTTTCCCCAAAGATAATTTTACCTCCTTTTTGTAGTCGAGTAAACTTTTTGGACTTCGGCGAGGAAGTGAACAATGGCAACGGAGAGCAAATGTGAGGGGCGAGAATAAACGAATAAACGAATGAGAAACGAATCAAAACGTGACTAGGCCAATGTTGACGTCGTTGCCTGTGCTGCTGTGATGTTGCTGCTGCTGCTGCTGCTGCTGCTGCTGTTGCTGCTGCTGTGTTGCTGATGTTGCCGCTGTGCCTGCAACAGTTGTTGCTGCCGTGCGTTGACGTGGGTGCGTCTCCTTTTGCTTGTGACAGCAAATCGAGTTGCACATACGCCTATATATAGCTAGTATAGCAAGTCATATGGGCCCCATCACCGTTTAGGTGGTCACGTGCTCAGCCAGCAGCAGCAACATCAGTCGCTAGTTGCAGCGGCGGCAGCTGCAATCACAGTTGCAATCTCTAGGGCAATAACTCAAGGCCTTGTCTGGCAGTCCGCAGCCACCAGAGGAGGACCTCCAGCACCTCCAAATGAAACACTCACACACTTGAACACCTCCGCAAATTACAGAAATAATATAATTGGCTGACAATTAGTATTTAATACCTATTATATTTTATTCATGCATATTATATTCTATTCTATTGTCATTAGTTTAAACCACAACGGTGTGTCTGCGCCAAGTGTTGCCTACTTTTTCGAGCCCAGTGTGTGTTGCCCCCATTGCGGCGCCTAATAAATCCCTTCGCCAAATGCTTAGCACATAAATCCTGTCCAGGGCATCCATCATTCGATGTCACACTCTCCACTCGGCGTGTTTGCCACGTCAATCATCATTACGGGACACAAATTGTCCGCTGAACGTTCGAAACGGGGATTCGGAATTCATTGCCGACCAAAATAGCATTTGTATCTGTTTGGATCTATGACAAACCCAACAAGTCAATGGGAAATATTAGAAAATAAATTATTTTGAACGAACATTCTTTTTTGTTAACCAGTGTGCGGTGTTTACAATAAGCTTATTCGGTTTTAAGAATCGCAGTAACAACTCTAAAAAACTGTTTGTTCTAGTTTTTACTTTTTTTGTGTTGTTATTATCTTAACTATATCGCGTGGTTTTATTTTCACTCCTATTTTTTTTTATTTTTTTTTTTTTGTAGTTAAAGCGACACTGCCTTGGCAGAGGCAGCAGTAAACAGTCAACAGTAAACACAAAACAGTAAACAGTAAACAAACACGCAAACAGACAACAGTGAACAGTGAACAGTGAACAGTGAACAGACAACTGGCAGTGCAAGAAGAGAGGAGAGGAGAGCGAGACATTTTCCGATTTTCCCTGCAGTTGCACACACTGAGAAAATGGCAGAAAGCCGAGCCGAGTGGCATTCGTGCCGTGACTTTTCCGCTCGGCTCTTTTCGATTTTCCGCTAAGGATAAGTTGCTCGGTTGCACGCTAGATTCTGTCATAACGGCTTCGGCACTCGTGGCGTTCGTCTCGCTTTTCCGGCTAAAATTCGCAGATGCGAATTGCTAACTTATTTAGAACCCGCTTTCGAAAACGTTTTTCAAGTTCAACCAACCATATTTTTTTGCTGTGTTTCTAACGCGAGTTTACTCAAAATAATTAAAAAGAAAAAAAAAACAAAACGCCAAAAGCTTAAACCAAAATTAATAACAAATTCAAAAAAATATTTAAAAACAGTTCGGAATAAAGAAAATAAAACAGCAGCAGCAGCAGTAAAAACAAAACCCTTCGGGTAAGTGTTAATTGGTTAACAAACAAACTTTCAACCCGCTGAAATCCCATTTCAGTGATAACAAACTTCTTTTATTTGTGTGTTGTTTGCCCGCCTTTTTTCCATTTGTTCATTATTTGCCCCGATTGTTTGCACAAAACTTGGCCAAATAGCTCAATTACGAAATCATAAAGCCAAATGAAATAATTGTGCAAAACAATCATATCAGTTGGCGGTGAAAGTTTCTATAATTTAAATATTTATTTGCTATACTGATATCGCCTCCGGTTCGATAATCATGATTTTTCCTACTGTGCAAAAAAATTAACTAGAACATAATAAAGTAAAATATTCCAATACCCAAACAATGAGCAATGTTGTCCCACCGGGTTAAAGGTAATACGCAAGATAACAAAGTTCAAATTAATCTTCTTTTTGGGGTTAACATGCTTAATTATCTTTCCAAATTTTCCAAACTGTTGCGCAGTCTGCAGAGCTAATTGGTTTCGCGATTAGAAACAATGGACTCGCACATGCCATAACTTAGAATAAATATTTATGAACCGAGAGCAAAGCAGAAACCTCTCTTCATTCCGACAGATCTATTCAAATCATTGGCGGTCCAAATATTTACACATGTCATTATTTCGGTATAACTTCTCTATTGTGTTGTAAACAAGCTGTCCGCCACTCCATTTTCACGTTTCCCAAAAATCCCAAAAAATTGGGGATGCATTCTGTGCATCTTACACACGAACTGGAGGATGTGCAAGCAAACTACATTTTGTATTTATATTTGAAGAGTGTGTGCACAGCTGCATAGTAAGCCATACATATAGTACGTACATAGAGGGACAATGTGGGAGCTCGTTAGCATTGTCCAAAGTGTCACGTGAAGTGTTTTTGTTCGCCGCCGTGCAGCAGGCGACTTTAAATGTCCCTGGCTCTTCTCTCTTCCTCTAATGAACTGCCAAGTTTGTGGTGGTGCAGCCGGGGAATCCCGGCCAGAATCAGAGAGTCACCTGCCCCCGCCACCTCATTATCGGAACCAGAATCCTGCGGCCAACTTAAACGTTCTTGTAATCAAATTGTGCCACTTGCGGCCCTGCATTCCCATCTCGACCACATCTGTCCACTTCACTATTTCGGTTGCACTTGGAAAAAGGAAAGGCAAAAGCTTTTCAATTGCCGAGTCAATTAACGTAACCTTTCTTACTAAAAATGAAATTTAACAGCTGCGGTTTTTCTTCAACCAACTTAAATTTGAAACAAAAGGTTCGCTAATTCAAACCAGAATGGCACTAAGATTTTCGCAGTGTAGCGACTGAGCGGAAAACCTTTTCCTTCAGTTGTCAAGTCTTTCGCCCATTTTCCTCTCGCCTTTCGCGGAAAAAAAGTTCCTTCGCTGGAGGAACTGTGTCAAATACTGTTTTTTTTTTATTATTATTTTTATATATGGTACGAATTGCACAAATAAAATGTTTGAGTGTGGATGCAAAGCGAGTTGCGGATTGGATTTGGAGCTCGGCGTACGCGTAATGTGCAAACAGTGCCAGCACCCGAAATTTGTTTATCAGCTGCGAGTTCGCTAGTTTGCTGGTTTGCTAGCAAGTGTCTAAACAAAAGAGCCAAGCGTAAACAAAATGGGTCTATTTCGGAGAGCGAATTACAGCCGCAATAAACGGGTTACAGTGAAGCTTCGACACTTGAACAGTGACACGAAAAATGCGAAAATAAAACCATGTCAAGGGTCGTTCATCTAATTACAAGTTCTTGTCGTTTCGTTTGATCCACAAGTTTCTTATATAGCTGCGCTCAGAATAAAATTTTTTTTTTCTTTTATATTTAGTAGAGTTTTTAATAGTAATTCTTAACAAAAGTTAAGTTGATGTTGTTTTGATAAATAAACTCATTATTAAAAGCGTAATTTTGCAATCCAAAAAAAGTTTTTACTACTCCATAATTCATCGTTCAAGCCCTTCCGTACATGTTTACACCGAGCTATATATCTTTTATTATTTACGGCCTAGTAAATAATTTCCCTATGAAATAAAAATCAACATTTTAGTGTTGATTCTATATGTGTGGCTTTTTCTTCATTCCCAAATAGTTGTTCAACTTGCGTTTATTTTGCTTGAGGAAATCAAAAGATTCCATAGTGTCATATTTCCATGGGGTTGAGTTTTCATTTTGTGCAAATTTGGCGAGTAAACTAGAAAGTGGAACTGGAATGGAATTTATTAAACCAATACAATACCAATGAAAAAGGAGTTGTGGGCTTAAAAGTTCAAAGAATAGATTTTCAAGGAGCTCTCCAAGTCTGAAATAATTTTGAATCCCGTTGTGAATTTTTGTAAAACACTTGCTAAATTAAAGTGGGCATTTCGATCTGTGTATTATCGGTTGTGGGCTTTCGAAATGCCAGACATTTAGTTCTCGGGTCATAATTATCGCGACAGTACAAATCAATTGTTACATAAAGCAGGTGAATCCGTTTCCAGCGCAACTAATTAATCACTCTTGGCTTCCCATTTAGCTCAGCTGAGCTCTTGCAATGTTTTTGGTTTTATGGCAGGTTGGCAAATGGATGAAAAAGGGGCACTCAAATGGGTTGATGGGGGGGCGGGGCAAAAATTTTACAATTTAGTAGCACAAATTGTGATTGGAATGTAGCCATGGGTAACAGAGAGCAAATCAATTACCATCTACCCTTTCTTTCAAGAACAAAACTTGTGTATAAAAATAGCCATTTTTTAATTATTGATTCTGTAATTTAATTTAGGTTTTGTCATTTGTTAGGTACCCAGTTTAGTTTCCCATTTGCTTTGTGCCTCCAATTTTAAATCCAATTGCAAACAAAACTTCGACGATTAACGTTTAGTTAAGACGCGTTGGTACTTATTAAAACCCATAAAATGATGAACAAAAATACTAGTTAAAAGTGGCCTATCATTTCGGAATGACCGAAATATGTGCAGACAGTCCAGTAAATCCCTATAAACAAACAAAACAAAAACAAAAATGATGCTTTGGTCGACGATCCCTTTTACAAGCCTGTTTTTTTTTTTTGTTGCCGTGTGCATTTAACTCAGAACTTGATACGTAGAAAAACATTTTATTGGCATAAGCGAACGAAAATCGCATAAAAACAGCCGGCGGGAGTACTACGGAAAAACAAAAGGGATGTTGTTGAAACAATAAATCAATTATGTAGTTTGTTTTTTAGGATTTTTTTTATGAAAACTTGGAAAGTAAGTGAAAACAAAACCCGACCCATGCAAAGTTTATTTTTAATAAAACGAAAGGGAGAGGATGCCATCGATTGACGTCAGTTGAGGAAAAACGCTTCAACGTTTCAAATGTTTGACGACGATGCAGTCTGATAATCGGAAATCGGCAAGAAAAACATCATAAAAAAAGATAGCGTTGAACCGGATGCTTTCCCAACGGAAGCCTGCAGTCATAAAATATTAACAGAAACCTTCACTCGTAACTGGGGAATAGCATTCCGATATCTTCGCAAATAAATAAATTGAAGTGCCCAAAACAGATCCCGACTTTCATCATCTCGCCTAATATACAATTTAAAGCTCCTAATACGTATTTGAATGAGGTTTCTAATTCAGGTGAAATAAAACTAAAATTGTTTTCAGCTCTCCTGAAAATTCTGTACAAAATGTTAATAAAAATATACAATGATATCTTATTGTTTATCTTAACGTTATTAAAAATATAATTGTACTAATTAGCTACTAATTTAAATATGTTTTGAGTTAAGGGAAATAATTACAAACTCAATTCAATTCAATTTGGACTGTTTACTTAAAAGACTATTTTTGTTCAAGGTGCATTCCTGAAGAATCTTTCTCTAAATTTGTTTATGAAAAGACCTACAAAAGTGATTTATGTTTGACCGTCAGTGAAATGCAGAAAAGCGGAATTTATTTTTGCCGAAAGCACGATCACGCGAATATTTTTAAGCTAATCTGCAAGCAAAAACACTTGATGCGAATTATGTCCGCAAATCTCGCCGGATTAAAGTCCATTTATGTGGGGCCTCACAATGTAAAACAGGACTTCGTCCTGCCGAATTTCCGGAATCCTTGAAATGCGAGTTGTAAGAGTTAACTGTCAATGGACTGTAACCTATACACACACTCGCACAAAAGGATGTCAAAATGTGTGTCTGTGTTGCTTCCTTTTTTGTGCTAGTCAAGTCAGTGTAAGTGTGTAAGTGTGTGTGTGTGTGTGTGTGTGTGGCGGGCTCTCAGGACGTGTTCTAGTTGTTGTTGTGGCAGAATTCTCAGCGAAATCGGCTTAGCGGCGGCACACACACACACGAACAACACACACCAACACACTGAAGATGCCATTGGGATAAAGTGGGCGTGGCAGGGGGCTTCACCTCTTAAATTTATTTGCGCATTTGAGCGCATTTAAAACGGAATTCGACGCCGTCGGCAATTGTGTGTGTGAATCTGTGTGGGATCCTTGCACCTATGACAAGTCTACGTGAATTCCATAATCCTTGCACTTGCTTCACACTCGGAAAAAGCTGCTTTAATACAAATGGTGCTCAAAAATGTTTGCTGTTTTATGATTTTAGAAATGTTAAGTCAAGCCACTCAAAACCATAACACTTCCTCTTTCCATTTGGGAAATAAAAAATGTTCTATCTAATCAAATTGTTAAATATAGGATCATTTCGACCAGTGCATGTCAAACTGTGAAAAAGAGCGTCGTTTTACGACATTTTGTTTTGCACTTTTTCGAAGATTTTGTTATTGATTTTCGCCCACGTACACCCACATGACATGTAGCACATTATTATGCCATACTTATTTTTTTTTTTTTTTTTTTTGACCAACAACTGCATTTGCCGTAGGCTAACAATGAGTGAGAAGAAGCAGAGCAAGATGCAGTGAAAGCAGAAGAAGAAGAAGAAGCCAAGGGCCCGCCTTTTCTTCTTCTTCGTCTTCGCATCCTTGTGTGACATTACATTGCTCGGCTTTGTGTACGCC